AAAATGCAAAATTCCTGAGTAGCACGACATTCTTCAAAAATTCTGAAAAGCGATCTTTGTTATAAAGTTGAGGAAAATATCAAATCCATTTTGAGTCGCGGCGCCGATTTGAAAATAAAAGATTTTATTCGGTATACGAATAAGAACACACGTTCTAATGTCCATCTACTCCTTGGGAGTATAGTTGAGGAATAATAGCTTATACAAAGTATTCAAACACTTCGAATATTTGAATAATCGATAGCCAAATTATCACAAAAGAAACACAATCATTCAATTATTTAAGTAGTAGAATATTCGAGAAATTTATATTTCGACTACGCATATATTTAAAATTATTAATATTCAAATAGTCGAGTTCAAGCAGCTCTGTAATCGCGGTTCGAGTAATACAGTCCAGATTCCTGGGATTTTATCAAAATTCGTCTATTCGTATCTGTAAAATCGGATAGAGTAAAAAGCAAGTGATCGTAATTGATGGATTCGTGAAATAGCTGAACTTTCTGGAAAGCGCGATCATTCGCTTATTCAAGTAGGTTAAAAAATGAGTGGTGAAATATTTAAAGACCTTTATTCGATTACTCCAATTCGAATAATTTGGAAAAAGCTGATTTCTATTGCTCAAAAACCTACAAAATTATCAAGTACGGAGGGACCGTATAGTTGTATTTTAAAAATTTCGCTTGAAACGACATTAGAAAATATTAGAATGAAAATATTTATTCGATTATTCGAGTAGCCGTATATTCAAAATCCTACTATTCGAATTTTCATTAGTCGAATCAATATTCTAATATCGAATTAAAATTTCCCTAAAATGGTAATTCAATTATACGGTCAAATATTAACAATACTTACTTATAGCAATTCTATTAAGTAATATTAAGTCGAATTATTGATATCAAAATTATTAATATGTCAAAGGTTGAATATTATCAATCTTGATGTGGACGAATTATAGTCTTCGTTCATTCGGAAATTTTTTACAACGTTTCAATATTCAAGGGCATAGACTATTTAAAATTTTCAGTTTAGTTCACCACAATTGCTACCGGGAAGAAATTCAATCTAAATTGAAGGGGAAAATTTGCAAAACCTAAAATTCTGTTCCACTGCTATAGGTGGGTCCCCAATCTATTGACTAACAGATACGCAGATATGAGGTTCCGCCAAGTTGTTCGAGAAATTTCAAAAAAAAAATCGTTTTTAATGTGTCTCTGTAAGTACTGATTAACTCTTATGACCAGCTTGAAACCTAGTAACATTTTGCTAAGTTAGAAGGCCAGCAACAAAGTGGAAATTAGATATCCATTTCATATTTTAAGAATAAACTGAGTTTCGACAGATTCAAAGTGGTAGCTATTTTGCCCTTCCTCTGAGTAGTGGTTCTGAACACTACGGTGCTAGCGCCGACTTGAACACTACGGCGCTAGCGCCGAGCGCCCCCAGATAAATGCCAATCCAAGCACGAGATTACTGGGGAGTGTGTCGACTATATAAATTTTGCCATTTGATGGCAACAATTTTACATCCTTGTAATGAGAAACATTGAGACTTAAAATTGCTAGGAGATTGAGGATTTACATAAACGAATTCGAGTATCAAGACTATGCTTAATACCGTTTCCAAGCCGTTTTTACTGCTCTGAAAACAATTGTCAAGAAAACTTCTGAACAATTTGGCGAGCCTTTAGGGAACCTCAGCTTGGATCGAAAAATCAAAGTGCTTCCATAGTTGGCCGATACTACCGCGCTTTTATCGCGCCGTGATGTCAGCCGATTTGAGCAACCACTAATAGATGCGCAAATTTCCACTAAACAAGGAATTTCTGTCCGAGTTTAACCCAATTCCTGGTAATGCCGCGTTTATTTCTTC